ATCATCGTCATATTGTGAGTAAGTACCTCCGCTATCGGTAGTTGACGCCTGGCCGCGTGCTTAGTCTCATAGCAATTTCATTTTTTTTTCCAAAATTTCTTTCACCTCTAGAATCTCCGACTGTTTCCGCATACTACAACTTCCATTAATCCACGCAAGTGTCTCGAAAGTGTTTTGATATAGTTTCAATCGAGTCCACTACTTCTATTTAATAACTTCCTAGTCCTTATGATTTATAGTTTCAATTAACGACATAACTAGCCCCTCTCTCGGAGTTATTTTCGTTTAGATCCTAGGTTAGAATGTTGCATACGAATTTACTTGTATTCTGTCTGGAAAAAATACGATAGCTGTAATTGTCACACTTGAATTCAACTTTTTAAAAACAAATATGAAAATAAATCTAGTAATGAAAAAACAGTATACTCAAAAAAACATGAGCAACTTTAGTCAATATACTTATATTTACTTATAATGACTAAAATATCCCTAGAACATCGTACATAAAACTTTAAGTATTGGAAACAATTGTTGAAGCAAGACGTAAACACGGTATATAAGGAATCTTCACCTTTGAGAAAAATAGTTAACATGAGAAGAATAAGAAGAAATCTCCACTCATTTATCACTTTTAGTTTCATGTCCACTAATGAATTGCACTTTAGAAGAGAATTGCACTTTAGAAGAGAATTGATCTGGTGCATCTCAGTGCATTTCTTTAGTGTCGATCAATTAAGATTGATCTAAGGATGGTGATCTCTTCTTATCTTTCTCATCGTAACTTATTTTCTTACCGGAACTCAATCATATATATATATATATATATATAGAGAGAGAGAGAGAGAGAGAGAGAGAGAGACTTGGGATCACGTGAGACCAGTCTGTTTTTCTGAGACCACCTTTTTACACTTGAAACTTCACGACAAAACATTGTGAATGTAACATTCACATTGTTTTTTATGTGAAGGTTCGGTTTTTTTTACCTTCACAACGTTTTGCTGTGAAATTTCAAGTATAAAAAAGTGATCTCATGAAAACAGACTACTCTCACGTGAACCCAACCCCATACATACATGCATGCATGCATGCATACATACTTACATACATACATACATACATACATACATACATACATACATACATACATACATACATACATACATACATACATACATACATACATANATACATACATACATACATACATACATACATACATACATACATACATACATACATACATACATACATACATACATACATACATACATACATACATACATAACAAGGAAATCAATACATACTTTCGAAAGAATTGTTGCAAGCGATAATATCCTTTGAAACATATAACAACTCATTTGTATGAAAACCAGTAATGTTAACTCTTCGACCAAAATTTTAAAGTACGTATAAAACACTTAAATTTCTTTTAAAAAACAACATATAATTGATTGATTTATTGAACGACGACTGGGCCAAATTGCCAAAAAGCGTTCATGAATGTTGTTTATGTCGAGATCTTTCTATATGTTTGTCGAAAACCACATAACGAGATTCCAATGAAAAAAGTTATTGCCTTTTGAAGTGAATGCGTGTTTTTTTGTTACGTATTTTATGTTCTCACTGTTTCATACGTAAATTAAACAATTGTCTTTGTCTATTCCTCAACAAGCCTACTTCTATTCATATTTAGTAAACACGAATGTTAACTACGTTAATTTATTTTTGTAGTTATTTTCTAATAACAACAATATGATACTTGACAGTATTTCATACTTTCCCCCCCTGAAGTCTACTGTAATTGTGAGAATATGTGGAAGCTTATCAGATAATTCTCTAACGTCGTGTCCTTGAAACATTTTTTATGAATGAAAGGAAAAAGAATAAATTACATGAAAAACTAACGTACTTTAACTTGATTATTATTTGGGATAACATACTTTCAAAACTTCCATTTTGGTACATAAGATGTAAAGTTTTAACATTTAAGTACCTGGGTAACCGATTGAAGCATTAGTCGGTTACCATGCTGATATGACGATTGAAGCATTAGTCGGTTACCACACCCAACAAAACATATTGTCTCACAGTGTCGATAAATTTCCCTAAAATGTTGAGCCCCTACGATAATAGACATTGACTCTAATATCATATGAAATGCAAAACTCCATTAGAATACTCTCCAAACGAGCTATTGAGAAAAGAAAACCAATTCCAACACATATAAAAATTAACTTGTGCAAGTTTAACCGATGCAAGACTCTACAATAATATCATCATTTAAGGGTTTGTTTGTTAACAATTCAATGAGCTTAATGAGATTCACAACTTATTCGATCAATTATACATGATTGTTTGGTAGTGGACTAATGATATAAAGAGTGTCTTAATCAGTAAGCTCCTACAAGTGAGCTTTATACAAAAAACTGAGTTTTTTCAAATCTGCCTCTTTCAATTAAAAAACATGCTTATTTCATATAAGAAAAATCCCTCTTAAACAAAAACTTTACTAATATATATATATATATATATATATATATATATATATATATATATATAAACTAATACGTATAGACAATTTTATCTGTATAAAATTTAACGAAAAATCAACCAAACAACGTCTTAATCGAAAAGACGAATAAAAAATTAAGAGGTTGTTTGTTTACTTCTTAATAGTTCAATTAAGAGACAACATCTGAATCGTGAAGAGATAAATATTGTTTGACAAAAAAAAAAAAAAACTTGTCTCTTAATGATTCTAAAACCTTATGAATAACTTTGTATTATATGTCGCTTTTAACCATTCAAAACCCTAATTTCATTGTAAACAATTACCAAATAATTATATCAAAAAAACCTCTTAATCATTTTGACCACTTAATCATTCTATACAAAACTATTCAAAAACTATCCACCAATATCTCAATTAATTTGGAACCAGCTAAGCTCGCTTGCGGCGCGTCAGACACTAAAGCCGCGCTTTAAAAAGCAATTGTAGTATGCCGGTGATTTGAATACTTATAATATAAAAAATTATTATATTTAATTAAAAACTGTACTTTATTTCACCATCAATTAGTTTTGACAATAATTCTTTAAGGAAAACAAGACTATTAACACTTGATATCACTTATTAAATTATAATATGATCATCATAGTTTGTAAAAATGTTAAAATTACTTTTTTAAACAGTCGTTAAAAAGTTTATTAAGGGTATTTTTGTCTTTTCATGAATTTTTGTCATTTATCCAATCATTTATCTTACCGGATTAGTCGGTGCACATAAGCTGATCTGAAAACTTACGGTTACAAAAAATTCCATGTGCAATATTTAATCCGAAACTGTAAGATTTAGCTACCGAAACAAGGAAATGGATACGTAATTACGATCACATCAAGAGGAATAATACTGTGGGAGTTTTGGTTTTGCATTTCGGTAACGCTGGAAGATTTCATAGTAGGTAATTACAGGAACTCATTTCGAAATTATGCAATGTGTGTAATGATTATGGGTTTCGTTATGAAAAATATATGATTTTGTTATTAAACGAAATTTAATATGGAATTTTCATGATTTTAGTAATGAACCCATATGGTTTATATATGAAAATGTGAATGGGGACAGGGATTCCCTACTAAAACGGGTCCCGGGACTGGGGAACCCTGTTAGACTCAAACCGGGCCGAAGATCTCCGGTAGACTCAAACTAACGGATATTATTCATGGGTTTTGACCGGGGATGAAATATTAATCCCCATATTTGCCGGAGACCGGGGTCGGGGATCACAAAACCCAACCCATCACTGCCCGTTGCCATACTTACCTAAGATTGTCATTAAGGTCATATTTCGTCGAGACCAATTAATTCCGTGATCGGAATAATTTTTTATCAATACCAAACAAGACACATCAACTCATGTAAAACCATTTAAAACGTAAAGGACTATAAAAAAGATGTCAAATCGAAGATAATGAAATATTCGTTTTTGATATATACTTTGTTTAATTATAACTATATTTATGATAATTCAATTTAAAAATAAATGAATAAATTTTATTAATTAGTAAAACTTAATATGAAAAGTAATAAATAATAATAATTTACTTAATATTATAATTATCAATTAATAATTAAATACTATTTGGTAAAATATTAGACTATATTTGAAAGAAAATGACTACAAACCCATAAACATTATTAAAACGAAACTTTAAATAATGTCTTAATAAATGAGGTTATGGATAATTAAATGATACTGTTTGCAATAAAAATTTAAAAAATAAGTTAGTTTATGGTTATGAAGTATTGTATATTAATACATATTAATTAAAATTTAAGATTACAAGTAAATTATGCGTAAATACAACTTATTAAATTTTTATTTTTGAATTTAATATAACTAACTACAGATAAATATAATCAAATACATGATAAACATCTCATTTTAAATTTAAAAAATCTAAAATATAATTAGATGATTTATTAAGTTATAACAAAATCATTATCTTTATAAAATTTTATTGTTAAGAAAAAAATAAATTACTTTATTAAATCATAATAACATTATCTTTCTTAAAATCATATAATTCATATTATGTCAACAGAAACAAAAAATAAAATAAAAACATTAAAATAAAGATATATATCACTGTATTTTACGAATACCCTTTTAATTATAAAAACCATATTTTTTGTATTTATTTAAAAAAATCTTATAAATATGCTATTTACGGTCCCAATTTCAACCATGTTTATAAACCAACAAACCAGCTAATAGCCCGCGTTAATGATATGTCTCCCAGCTCATGATTGAGACCAATATAATCTTGACCCAATTTTCATGGCGTCTTTCTTCAAATTCAATCGAACTAATCAAAACCCTTCCACATTTATAAAAAAATTTGCAGGCTTCGAATCCCAACCCTCAAAAACCATCCCTTTGAACACTTCACGCTACAAATTTCTTTCTCTCTCTCTCTCTTAAAAAACACACGATTTTGACTAGTCAACGTCTCCATCTTCACATCTTCCCATCTTCCATACTTCTCTTTCCATTTTAAGCTCTCTCAAGATCCAGATTTCCCTTAAAAGGCTTCATTTCTTCAGTTCCTTTTATGGGTCTTTGATCTTTGGTTAAACCCACCTTTTTGATCTTGATCTTGATCTCATTTCTTACAAATTCCCATCTGGGTTTTGTGGATTTTTGTTAGTTTCAATGGCACCAAGTTCTGTGGTAGTGACGATCGATAAATCCAGCAATATCTCGTTAATGGAAGTTGATGATGGTTCAGAGAAGTCTTTATTTCTTGAAAAGCAAAAAACATCAAGCACCAAGCAGTTTTCATGGCGGCTTTTGCTTAAAGCTCAAAGGTTTCTTATGTTCTTCCCATGGTTGCTAATGGGGTTTTCGAAGACTTTTGTTTCTGTTAAGAAACGCATTGCGGTATCAGATTCAGGGAGAGATGAAGTCAAATATAGAGAGAGGATTATGTACAGATTCATACGAGCATTTCTTGCTATTTCGATTGTTGGTTTGGTTGTTGAAATCATTGTTTATTTTCAGAATTGGGATTTGAAGTTCATCCCAAAAGAAGCTATGGGGTTTCTTCATTTAGCATTCATGGGTTGGCTTTCATTCAGAGCTGATTATCTTGCTCCATTCATCACCAAGTTGTCAGAATTTTGTGTTTTGCTGTTCATGATTCAGTCAATTGATCGATTCATTCTTGGAATTGGGTGTTTCTGGATCAAATTGAAGAAAATTAAGCCAGAAATTGATGATCAAACTTATGATATTGAAGATCCTTCATCTTTTCCCATGGTTCTTGTTCAGATCCCCATGTGCAATGAAAGAGAGGTATACCCAACTTGGGATTTTAGTTAAATTCTAACGAAAATTGATTTTTTTCCCGATCTTTTTGCTGATATTTTTGTGGGTTTTGTGTAATGAAGGTGTTGATATTTGGGATTTCAATCAAACTCCAACAAAAAAATCGATCTTTTTACTGATAATTTTTGTGGGTTTTGTGTAGTGAAGGTGTTGATATCTGGGACTTCAAATTTCAATCAAATTCTAACGAAAATCGAATCTTTTTCCGATCTTTTTACTGATAATTTTTGTGGTTTTGTGTAATGAAGGTGTTGATATTTGGGATTTCAATCGAATTTTCCGATCTTTTTACTGATATTTTTCGTGGGTTTTGTGTAATGAAGGTGTTGAAATTTGGGATTTCAATGAAATTCTAACGAAAATCGATTTTTTTCAATTTTTTTTACTGATACTTTTTGTGGGTTTTGTGTAATGAAGGTGTTGATATTTGGGATTTCAATCAAATTC